ATTGAGGTGCGAAAATAATTCATATCTATAGTGCATGAGCACAGAGCTTTGAGAGTGCACAGGACACAGTTTGAGTGAGAGGAGAGACACGTTTTAAGTGCGCGCACTCTCTCCGGGCAGCGTGTATCTGAGCGCGTGCGTCCGATTTTGTGCGAGAGCAAAAGAAATCCACGCACGAGCGGAGAGATTCACACTCGTGCATTATATTAATGTGCTTTCGCACTACAGTAACGCGCTCTCGACATTTGTCATTAAAATAACGCCATACTCTGCCGGCTGCTCCTGTTTCACAGCCAGCAGGACTCGCGCTTAAATCCGCAATTTGATTTTGGCAAATTAGTTTGGGCGAATGCAATATATTGATCAGGAGCAAAAAAATCAGGAAAACATTTAATCTACCTGAGTGGAGACGTCTTTCACTATTTTAAGTTACGGCTGTTAAATAGAGAGGAAAATACATTTGAAAAAAGTTAACTTCTTAAACTTGGACTTCATTTTATTTATTGAAGTAGAAATCCAAGCACCAGAAGCAGCCCACACTCAGCCCACAAGTTTTCTTTCATTGAAAAATGTGCATTTTCATTCATTCATAGGCTATATGGTTGCAATAATAACCATTTTAGTTTTAGTTTCATAGACGTTCAGTTGTTATGCTTTCAAATTTCTTTCCATTTGTATGTATGTAATTTCACAGTATTTCCCCCTCCTAAATTAGGTTTACTACTTGTGCAGTCACGATTTTATAATGGTACAATTTACTCAGGCCGATGACTTTTTTTTTTTTTGCATGACATTAAGATTATTTTTATAATATATGTTAAGCTAAACAAATGTGATTATTTCTGAGAACTTTTTAACTGCAGGCAGACATTATGGTACAGTAGGCCTACAAATATTTTGTTGGAGATATGCGAGTAAAAAATAATAGATAAAAATAGAAATAGAAAGAGCAAAGGCGGCGAGTAAAATAATAAAACAAAACAAAACTGTAGAAAAATATAATGAATTACAAGTCTGTAGAGAACAGTGCGCTATTGCAGACTTATATACTGAAGTATTAATTACATTATTGTAATAGCTATAGTCAGTCGTGAACTAAAGTGGGCCGCTCTAAGGCATGAAACTCCAGAGCTGAAAATGACTCCTGGTTGTTGAGGTCTGTGGTGACAGCAGAAGATCTGTGTAAAGCGTGTGTTGTGGATGTCTGTGGTGACAGAGGCATGTCATACTCAAGACAGCCTTCTTTTCACCGGTGTTGTGGCAAATTCCAAGAATCTGTTAAGAAGCTGACTAACGTAGCTGTACCGCACGAGCACGTGGTATCATTTCCCTAGACGGGGCGATCTTTAATTTACCCTGTTTAATTTTGTGTATGTTTTCTGTGTCACATATGTATATGTTTATCATTTCATCATATCAACAAACACTTAATCTTGACAAGAATCACAAATGAAGATGGTTGCAGACATACACAGAGGGGTGTAAGACTGACAAAGCAGGGCTATATATACACACACACACAGAGAAAACCTTTGAAAATGCACAGGCGTGGGTGGTAAAATAATACATGACATTACATAAAATATTACAGGATAATGCAATATGATATGTATTCATTATTAATCAATCATGTTACATGATTAGCACTGAGGAAGCTAAGAACCGATTCTGGCAAACAGTAGCTATAAGCAAATAAAATGTGAACTGTTTTCCTAACTCTCTTAGGATAAATAAATTGATCATTAGAATGTGCTTTATTGGGTATTTGATACTGTTGCGATATTCGTTGTGTGGAAACAATCGTCGATGAACAGTAATTTTATTTTTTCTTTCAGAACTTTTACTGTAAATACATACAAGATCGGGGAAAGAACAATAGTTGTATCAAATCAATCAATCAAACATTATTTATAAAGCACTTTAAAAACACCGAAGTGGACCAAAGTGCTGTACAGAAAAATACAACTCATACAAGACATAAAATCCAACTAAAACACATTAAAAGACCATAGAAAACTAAAATAACCAAATATCAACATCAGGTGTCAAAGGCGACGGAGAAAAGATGTGTTTTAAGAGATGATTTAAATAAAGACAAATCATTGCACAACTTAGGAGCTGCCACAGCAAAGGCACGGTCCCCGTTAAGCTTACGCTTTTTTTGTTTTTGGGCACATTCAGGAACAGCTGACCAGCTGACCTGAGAAAACCGGTGGGCGTGTAATGTAGGGTGGGGCAAGCCCATTTAGGGATTTAAAAACAAATAGACACATTTTAAATTGAATCCTAAAATGTACGGGCAGCCAGTGAAGTGAAGCTAAAATGGGGGAAATGTGCTCCTATCCCTCACAATGAACAATCATCAAAACATTAGAATAGTATTATTCGTGCCACATTTGTATGCGTTTTATTGAACTCAGAAATTGACTGCACCTTCTTTCTTTTTGTTAATCAGAAGTTATTTGTTTCATGCATGTTTATGCCATTAACAGGCTGCTTTTGATGCAGCATTAAGGAATTTCTTAAACAATTCATCCATCAATACACTAATATTTCTAAATAATATTACCTTATTGATGGGGTTGTTTTTGGAATACAAAATTTTGGGTTCTAAAGCATAATAAATATTTTCTTTGTGTCCCAAACAGTCGCTGTGTGTGTTGCGCAGCTGAATTTGAAGGCAGCTGATGGAGAAAATGTCACCATATCCTTCAAAACTGCTGGACTTGAGAGAGCCGACCAAGTGAAGATAACTTTTACAAGAGGATGTAAGAAAAATCTGATTGCGCAGTACTGTCGCTGTGCTCATTGTGGGGACTGTGATGCCGTGGAAACACCGGGAGTCGTACTGAGAGTTGAAGAAGGAACCTTAACTCTTCTACGTGTCAGCTCCAATAACTCAGGCCTCTATGAAGTAATAATCATTGGAAATAACGTGTCTGAGATGAAAGTTACACTTGTTGTCAACAGTGAGTATGTTACCACAATATATCCGTTTATCTGTATCAGAATTATGAGAAAAATAATGTAAATGGTAACGATTGTGTTCATAAAGTTGTGAAAATGAAGTTGATGTTATTGCTACTTGAGCTGGAATGTGTTCAAATACAAATGATCATTCTGGTGCGCATTTACTGCTTGACGAAAATTTGCAGGCGAAATCCAGTTATTTCAATAGGAATCTGCAGGAAGGTCAAAAAAGTTGCCCATGCAAATTTTGCGTGTGTTCAGTTCAGTTTAGTTGGTCACGTGAATGTGTGCTGACCAGCAGAAAGCTGCTTGATTTGAAAGTGCCTTCTGTGTGAACTGTGCTTCAAACATCGCTACACTTGATAACAGATCAAGAAACAGAAATGTTGCTGAAATATTGCTAATGTGACTGCTCCTTTAGACTTTGATTAGAAAAGAGTAAACGCTTTTCTGATAATTTGGCAGATGGTAAAGGTGATGTTATTTTTGAGCAGTGTTGCTGGGCAATGTTGCCATCAATGGGCAACCGCGTGAGACACAAGGCTAACAACTGATCTAAAATATCCAGATAGACATTTTTTGCCCATTCTCAAGGGGAAAGTGCCCAAGCAACATCGCTCGACAACATTGCACAAAAAGTTGACCTATGTATCATCTCCTTAAGAGATGTTAAAGTAGGACTGGTCAGTAACTTTGGTAGTGGTACTTAGTGAAGGGTCATTTGATTTGCAGTTTAGAATTCTCTAATTATTTCTGTTCCTGTCGTTACAGAACCACCATTTTCCTCCAGTATAGAGCCAAGACAAACCTCCATCTCAAAACCTCCCAACGTCTCTGAAAGACACAGGCTATGTGTGTTACCTGCTCTAGTTGTATTCAGCCTGGGGGTCTTAGGGGTTTATTTGCTCTATAAATGGAAGAGGGCAAGTATTCATTTTTATTATTTTTAGTTTTTTTATATTGACAGAAATTAGTTGCTAATGTTCTAATGATCTAAGGCCGTAATCACCAAAAAATGTTAAGGCTAAAAGTTGCTCCTAATGCAGAAACTTAAGTTTTGACGATTCTATATATTATAATAAGAAATGTACAGAGTTAAGTTCAGTTCCAAATTAAGTAGGAGTATGATGGAGTATGATGTTTATGTTAGGATGAAAGTTAATCTACGTTTATTTTAAAACTAAAACCAGGAGCAGAACGATTGCCTGATTTAAAACCGGTCACAAAATAGTGCTTGTTTTTGAATGTTTAAAATAATGTTCAAGTATGTGGTTTTCATGTATAAACCTGAAATTGTGTACATTTAGATTTGTCTTCAGCACATTTTTTATTTGATTAGCATTTTTAACTGTGTTTTTTGTGTTAACTCTCAGGGATGTGAGCCAGTAGCTGATGCTGAAGCAGCCAGAGATCCAGTGTGAAGCGCTTGCATTCAGTGAAGAACACAAGCGACTTATGAATGACACAAATGATTTCAACTAGTTTAAAGCCAGATGAAACAGCACTGACAAATAGCAGAAGCACTGTGAGCAATGAGACAGTCAGAAGCCTTTTCAGTCTATAAATCGCCATCATTTACCATGGGTTTACTGTAGTAACACGAACCACTATGGTATTGTGGCAGAGATGCGGGATATTCAGATAGAATTTTATTATATTATTCACGTAGACTATAGCGTTTGTGCTTTTATACTAAATGTGTTTCGACTACTGTTTTTCATACAAATACCTAGAAACAAAGTTAAATTTTTACCTTGGTGTTGAGGTGTTATGTGTGGTTTTAACTGTGGTTATCATGATCTAAATGTGTGCTATATGGAAGACCAGTGGTTAAATTTAATAAAACTCAAATAGTCAGAACAATTACATTTCACCATAATTTTTTTACAATTTTTACAGATGTTACAGTTTGTTTTTTGTTGTTGTTTTTTTTAGAAATGTATATCGTTAAGGTTCTACAACTATCGTTTAGGAGCAAATCTGCCTTTAAACTTGAAAGAAATAAAGATTAGAAATTTATCATGATTATCGATATCGATTGATATAAAATTTTTTATCGTGATAATTGTTTTGCCCATATTGCCCAGCCCCAAGCTGCATCCGAAATCGCATACTTCCATACTATATAGTAGGTGAAAAGCAGTATGCGAGGCGAGTAGTATGTCCGAATTCATAGTATTCGAAAAACAGTAGGCGAGAAGTACCCGGATGACCTACTACTTCCGCCCAAATTCCGTAGCATGCATACGATGGACACTTTACTATCCCAGTCTGATCACACCGTAGCTTTTTTGCCTTTGTCACTTTTGAGGTCAGGTCCACCGATCACTGCTGCTTGGCCTGGTCTACACAGCTCTTGTGATATAGTTAGGCACGCTGTAGCTTTACATTTAGAAGTGCTTTCCATTTTTATGTGCAATATGAATCAAATGTCATTGCCATTTTACTGTGTGAATGTATATTAATTCCTAAATTAAAACTAATTCTAGATTTGCTGTATTTGTGTGCACTAGCTTTTATGAATATAATGTGTATTTTCTTCAATGTCTTGTAGATTGCTTGTCAATGTCTCTTTATATTTTGAGGAAATAAATATTTATGTCACATTTATCACACAACTCTGACTGTCTGACTGGTGTTTTCTCATCGGATTGGTAAATGTGTTTGTCAACTTAATTTCACTCTGCCAAAATTATTTTTTTCCACCATTAAATAATTTAATTGAATAAAATCATTAAAATGTAAAATTAAAACACTTTTTACGCTTTATAATAATAATAAATGTGAACTTGATTCGTCTGATGGCTTTGGAACACAGACGGTAACGACAGACATAAGGATGCGCTCGTTGATCAAACAGTCCATTCGCTGGTTTGAACAGATCTGATTTCAGTAGAACCGCGCACAGACAGTAGCCTGATGATAACCCCTTGCGTGCTCTTCCCAATATTGTGACAAACACCATATTCAAAAGATAGAATTTGAAGGAAACTGTAACAGATGCGCGCGTTTTATTTTCAAAATGTTTTGTTATTGACGCGATGAGTCAGACAACTACTGCAAAAAAATAAGTCCTATCTCTTTCCATAAAAATATAGGCTATAAACATTCTAAAATATATGTTTACCTTTTAGTCATGGCATTT